TGTAGCAACTTATTAATGCCTCTATTTAAAAGAAGGTAACTCAGTACAGAGTAGAAAACAAATTTAGAACTTCCCTGGTCCTCACAGCATTACACTCAGCAATGCATTTTTCAACAGAAACATCAGTAGAGTCATTCCATGAGACATCTATGGAACAATAGCCAAAAAAATAGGAGTCTATATTAGTAACATGGATTTTAATTTAAAATCCATCCTTCGATCCAACCAATTCCAATATTGTTACAGCCACCATGTTAGTCCAACACAATCCAAAATTCAAACCGATTGAGCCGAAGACAAATTCCATAGCCTCATTCCCAACATCTTACAGACTTACCTGTTACGATATTGAATATGATGCCGTTTTTAAAAACTGGGGAAGAAACAGGGACATCAAAAGAAAAACACATACCAACCAAAATCAAACAATTGGCAGATCAGCACAGGGGGCAAATCAGGACAGGCGTATAAATATAGATAATAAACATTGTGATGTAGTTGAAACCTTGTCTTGGCCAAAATGCTCTTTTAGGAACTGATAAATGGACCGAACGGCCTCCTCCTGCTCCTATCTTCTATGTTTCTACGTTTCCTAGCTACCACCAGTTCTGAGGAAGGGTCACAGAGCCTGAAATGTTAACTCTGCTCTCTCTCCACAGATGCTGCTGAGTTTCCCAGCAATTTCTGTCATTAATGCCAATATTTTCATTATTATCATTAGATTCTTAATTCCAGAGTTAAATCTTAATTGAATTCAAATTTCACCATCTGACAAAGTGAGATTCAAACCCAAAGCCCCAGAACATTAGTTGAGTTTCTGGATTAATAGTCTGCTGATAAAATCACTAGAACATTGCCTCCTCAATTTATTTCTTTTAAGATGAACATCCTTCCTGTGCTAATCCCAAGTGTACATGAAGTGTTATGACAACAAGTGACGTGGTAATGTGGGATGCATTTGTTCCTAAAGGATTTGGCCATGAGGAGGAGATGAGGCACAATGTAATGTCCGCACACCAGCAATCCAGAAGCCCAGACTAATGGTCAGGAAACACGGGTTTATGGAAGCCTGTGAGTTTAAATTGAACAAATAAAAGACCTGGAATTAAAACCCACCCTCAACACTGGGTTTTGAATACCTGTCTGATTGATTAATGTCCTTTAGGAAGGAAATTTGCTGTCCTTACTTGGTTTGGCCAACACATGAATCCAGATCTATGGAAATATGAAGCAAAATCAGAAATTTCTTCTGAAGGGTCACTGGACCTAAAACATTAACTCTGCTTTCTTGCCACAGATGCCGCCAAACCTGCTGAATATTTCCAGCAATTTCTTATTTTCAAGATCTGCAGTTTTTTGGGGTTTGTTTTGTCTACAGAAATATAGTTGACACTTAATTGTCCTCTGAAATGGCCTAGCAAGCCATTCAGTAGAAGGGCAACTGGGGGTGGGAAATAAATATTGACCTTGCCAGCGATGTCCATTTCCAATCAGCCATTTTTAAAAAAATATATAAAGCATATTGACACAAAGAAGAGTATAGCAGGAGAGCCACTCCCTTTCAGGGAGAAAATCTAGACAAGCTGGTGGAGGAGGAGCAATAAAACAAGATCATATTTCCTTTCAACATGCAGCCAAGTTAAAATTCAGTGAGGAATGCAGGAGGGGACTCCCACATCTATGGCTAGGGTTGCCTATGAAACTCCTCCATGTTGGCTGTGTGGTGACTGTAATGAGGTCAGCCAGGTGGACATCATAGAGTATGAGTTCCCTGATTGGGGCTGTTAACCTGGTCCAATCAGGGAGCCCTGGCTGACAGGTATAGACAGGAGTGTCTGGGGTTCTGTTCGCTCAGAGCTGGGTCAGTGTCATGTACTATGCATGTATAAATAAAGGGTAACTTGCTGACTGAATACCAGCCTTTGTGGAGTTATTTCAGGCCTACCCATTGCAAATCTGTTTCTCCTGTTTCCTAGCATCATATACCACAAAAAATTAGAAGCCCAGAATAAAAGAGCACCACTCTACATCCCATCAACATTCACAGACAGTGGCATAGCTATCCATACATCAAAGTGAGAACGAGTAACCTGGGGATGGTGGAATTAGAAGTGGAATCCTAAGGTGACATGTTGGCTCAGTGGTTAGCACTGCTGCCTCACAGAACCAGGGACCCAGGTTTGATTCCACACTCAGGCGACTGTCTGTGTGGAGTTTGCACATTCTCCCCGTGTCTGCATGGGTTTCCTCCGGATGCTCCGGTTTCCTCCCACAGTTCAAAGATGTGCAGGCGAGTTGGATTGGCCATGCTAAATTGCCAATAGTGTTCAGGGATGCCTAGATTAGGCGGATGGGTCTGGGTGGGATGCTCTGAAGGTCAGTGTGGACTTGTTGAGCCAAAGGGTCTGTTTCCACACTATAGGGATTCTATGATCTACGATTCTATGATCTATGATCAATAAAGCCCTATACTGAGGGGAAAACTACTCTGAAAGTGTAATGCTTAGTTATACTCTTGGCTGCTTACCGCAGTGATATAATTAAAGAGCTATCCATGGACAAATAAAACATTCCTCCCCAGCTTTATGTAGTATTGCACCATTTATTGCTTCTAAACTCTAGCAGGCATACCCTGAGTTTTCTTGGAAGTAACTAGTTGTTCCACAGTTCAATGAGTTTCTACTGCCTTGGAAGTTCCCGTCCCGAGATTGGAATGAAGGTCTAAGGCCAGGAGGCAGCAGATCTCTGCAACTATTTCTTGATGAATCAGAGGCAGAGGAGGCAAATCTCTTTACCCTCAGCAAGCTGGATCCACCTTAATTTTTTATCCCCCCACAGTTAAGGGTAGGTATGGCAAGAATATCTCAGCCATAAATGCATCTTTCTGTGGCATGGGTGGGGAGGTGGGGATTTTCTTAAAGTTGAGTCCCAACCAGCAGCGCTGTGCCCACTCCGCCCCCCACCCCCCTGCTCCTCTGGCCATCCCTGATGCAATCTTAACAGCAGTGAGCAAGGCATTGGACGGTCCTCTATTGAACCAATAGAGCCCCTTAATTGACCAAATCGCAGCCTCTTAGAGCTCCCTCCCACTGCCACTAAGTTTTTATCCATAGTGAAAGAGATCAGGGTCAAGGGTCCAACCTGGTTTCTCATTAGAGCATGCTCTCCTGGTTGCAGTCCCAGCTGTAGCTAGGGTTCCTGGTGGTGCTGCTGGGATAAGAGAGCAGCCGGACATTTGCTTTCACAGGCGGGACTTCCTTGCTCATTGAAGGCTAATTAAACTGCTGTGTGGGGACCTGGCAAGTCAGAGGCAGAATTGGCCCTCATTTTACCCAAGGAAGTTGTGTTGGAACTATATGAAATGCTGGTGAGGCCAGCACTGGAGTACTGCATGCAGTCTTGGGCATCACACTATTGGAAAGATATGATTGCACTAGAGAGGATTCAGAGGAAATTCACCAGGGTATTGACTGGGCTGGAGGGTCTGAGCTATGAGGTAAAAAAAGACTGGCTAGACTAGAGTTCTTTTCCTTGGAAGAGCTCAGGTTCAGAGAGGACCTAATAGAGTGACATAGTTACGATGAATAGGAAGACGCTTTTTCAATTAGCAGAAAGGTCAATAACCAGGGCACATAGATTTAAGTGGTAGAAGACTATGGAGAAAGTTGAGAATTTTTTTCACTCAGATGGGTGAGTTGAAGTCAACAATTCACTGTCTGAAAAGATGGTTGAAAATTTGTGACACTTAAGCAACTTTTAGATATTCATTTGTGTTGTCTTAATATGTAGGGCTTTGGGCCAAAAGCTGGAAAATGGAATTATTGTAATCAGAGCTTTCTGGATTGGCACATTCAGGATGGGGCCTCCTTCTGTATTGTGAACACCAATGAGTCTACCTCAGCCTGACAACCCACACACTACCTTGTAACATTCAGTTCTTAATTTCATTTTGGTTAAAATGCATGGTATTTCCTCCATGCAGAATACATCCCTTCTACTGCTCAGGACTGTCTGTTTCACTCAGCTGTGGCCTAACCAGGGCTTTGTATAGCTGAAGCATGACTTCTCCTCCCTTCCACTTTTTTTAAATAGAATCCCTACAGTGCAGAAAGAGGCCATTCAGCCCATCAAGTCTGCACCAGCCCTCCAAAGATCATCCCATCGAGTCTCTGTAACCCTGCATTTACTATGGTTAACCCACCTAGCCTGCATATCTGTGGATACTCCAGGGCAATTTAGCATGGCCAATCCACCTAACCTGCACATCTTTGGAGTGTGGAAGGAAACTGGAGCACCCAGAGGAAATCCACACAGACAGTCACCCGAGGCTAGAATCAAGCCTTGGTCCCTGGCACTCAGAGGCAGCAGTGCTAACCAATGAAACACCATGCTGTCCCAATCTGCTCTAGTCCTGTAGATATAAACGAAAGCATTCCTTGCCAGGAAGGTCGCAGACTACCTGTAGTCCAGGTGATATGACTGATCTAGTATCGAGAGACCCAGGATCACTGGGATCATGGACTTGTATCACTTCAGGGCAGATGGTGGAATTTAAATTCAACTTTCAAATCTGGAATTTAAAAGCTAGTGACCCTGAAGCTATTATCGATTGTAAAAACCCATCTGGTTGACTAATATCCTTTAGTCAATATCCTGTCTTCCTTCTCTTGCCTGGCTTACACGTGACTTCAGACCCACCACAATGCAGTTGACTCTTTCCTGCTCTCTGAAATGGGCCAACCAGATACTCAGTTCAGTTAGGGATGAGCAAGAAATGCTGGCCTTGTCAGTGATACCCACATCCATGAAGTAACAAAATCATTCCCTCAGCCCTTTTGATTGTCTTCCATACATGTTCACCCTGACCATTATATTCCTACCACTCTGCTGGAGTAAAGAAATTTCTCCTGGTTTATTTATTGGCTTTACAAGTGACTATATTTGCAACCCATTATATGTTGCAATTTCTCTGTAGGGGAAACAAAGAAAACAAAACTCACCTGAGTTATCAACTGTCTCTGTGATGTTCCTCAGTGGGCTCTGGGCTTGAGGCTGTGCGTTGCTTATTTGTTCATCAATATTTTCCCCTCGAATTGTTGTCAGATCCTGCATGCTGAAGCTTCTTAGTCTTTCCGAGAGAGCTCCTTGTCCCTGTGGCACAGCAAAAAGATGTTCTTTTTACCACAAAAAAAATATGATGCTTATACCAGGATTGTTACCGTTGAAGGAAGGGTCTCTTAACTCCATATTTAGCAATGTTATTATCTTCGTTTGCCAGTGAGAGGGTGATTTTGGTCTTGCAGTGCAGCAGTAGTGTCCATGCCTCTAAGCTAGAAACACATGGTTCAAATAAATAGCAGGACCCTTAGGAGCTTTGATATTCAGAAGGACCTTAGGGTGCCAGGCCATAGCTCCCTGAAAGTGGCAACACAAGTGGATAAGGTGGTTAAAAAAAAGGCATACAGCATGGTTGGGCTCTTTGGTCAGGCCATTGAGTATAAAAGTTGACAAGTCATGTTGTAGCTCGATAAGACTTTAGTTAGGACACATTTGAAGTATTGCGTACAGTTCTGGTCGCCACACTATAGGAAGGGTGTGGAGACTTTGGAGGGAGTGCAGTAAAGATCTGCCAGAATATTGTCTGGATAGAGATAACACAGTGTGGAACTGGAAGAACACAGCAGGCCAGGCAGCATCAGAGGAGCAGGAAAGCTGACATTTCAGGTCAGCACCCTTCTTCAGAAATGGGAGAGGGGCTCTGAAATAAATAGAGAGGAGGAGTGGGGCTGGGGAAGATAGGTGGGATGGTGATAGGTGAGTGCAGGTTGGCCAATGGTGGGGATTGGTCAGTGGGGTGGGAGGAGCGGATAGGTGGAAGAGAAGATGGACAGGTTGTGTCAGGTCACAGAGGCGGGGATGAGAGGGGAGGTTGGTCAGGGGATGAGGCCGGGGGCTGGGGAGATTTTGAAACTAGTAAAATCCACATTGTCTGGATAGGAGTGTTTTAGCTATTAGGAGAGGTTGGACAAACTTGGATTGTTTTCACTAGAGTGTCAGAGGCTGAGGAGCAACCTGACAGAAGTATATAAAATTATGAGAGGCACACAGAGTGACCTGGAACATACTGCCAGGGAGACGGTAGAAGCAGATATGATAGCAAAGTTTAAGAGGCATTAAACAGACACATGTACAGGCAGGGTCAGACGGATATCTCATAGAATCCCCACAGTGTGAAAACAGGCCTTTTGGCCCAACAAGTCCACACTGACCCTCAGAGCATCCCACCCAGACCCATCCCCCTGTAACCCACCCAATCCATACATCCCTGAACACTATGGGCAATTTAGCATGGCCAACCCACCTAGCCTGCACATCTTTGGACTTTGGGAGGAAACCGGAGCACCCGGAGGAAACCCGCATTGATACGGGGAGAATGTGCAAACTCCACACAGACAGTCACCTGAAGGTGGAATTGAACCTGGATCCTTGGCGCTGTGACACAGCAGTGCTAACCACTGAGCCACCGTGCTGCTCGGATATGGAACATGTGCAGGGAGAAGGAATTTGGTGAGAATGGCATCATGGTCAGCATAGACATAGTGGGCCGAATAGCCTGTTCCTAGAGTGTTCTATGTTCTGCATTCTATGTCTTATGTTTCATTGGAATTTAAAAATAAAGGGTATTCATATACTCATATGACCTGGGAGTCACAAGCTGGGCCAGCATTTATTGCCCAGCCCTAGCTGCCCTTGAGAAGGTGGCACTGAACTGTTTCATGTATTTGGTTCAAGGCCATTTACGTCTCTGGCCACTTCCTGCAATATTAAAAGAGATCCTCAGCAGCTTCCACTGCAATTGAAGGTGACTTGCTGGAAGAACATTGCCACCGAGACCATTACAAAATGCTGATGAGAGTTGATGAAGATTCTCAATATTCTGGAAGTGAACCTTTTTCCTTCGAGGGGGTCCTTCGGACAATTGTACTGTGGCAACCTGCTGCTGTGAAATTATGTTGCCGACATGCCCCATCAAAGGTTGGATCTCTCCTTTAAGGGCTTTTAAATATTTTTATTCAACTTATTCAAACATGTAATGACATACCTCTGAAGCAGGTGGGAGTTGAACCCAGGCCTCTGACTTAGAGAAAGAGACACTACAAAAAGCTCTCTTTAAAGCTGGTTCCAGGTCTCCACAGCACTGCCAAATTTTCAGCTCTCCCAAACAGCAAGCTACCCACAACATGTGAGAATAAGATCTGGCAATTTGTCCGTTATATTTGGCTAACCTGAATGGTGTATCCTCCCTCAATCCTAATCCTGTCCCCCAAATCCCCATCCTCCCTCTGTGCTTCAGGCCTCATCTCCAGTTGAGATGGGATTGTCAGCCCTTTTGGGTTTGCCCCAGAGTTTTCCTGCTCATCCCTTGAAGAGGTCAGGAGCCCAGGTTTGATCAGCAGATCACTGTATGCAATAGGAACTGTGAACCCAGGTTGGTGAACCATGATATCGAGGAAATGGTCACAGGAAGATTTGCAGTGAAAGTGATTGTCAGAATGAACACATCCGAGCCCCTAGCCACTGTGTGCGTACATTTACACTGATTATTTTCCACACCAGCTAAATAACTATGCACAGAGGGCTGGTGAAGACACAATGGGCTGATAGGCCCCCTTTTGCACTGCAACACTTCTACGGTTCTGAACTCTGCTCTCTTCTTGGAATTAGTCAGAAGTCACACGTCACCAGGTTACAGTCCGACAGGTTTATTTGAAATCACAAGCTTTCAGGGCGCTGCTCCTTCGTCAGGTGGACTCCACTTCTTCGAGTTAGAAGTCATTTAATTCCCCTGCAGGATTTGAGTGCAGGTCTAGGCTGGTACAGCACTGAGGGAACATTTTTAAAGGAGCCCTCTTTTAGATAGGATGCCTTATATTTTCAGCCCTCAGTACATTGGTACCAGCTGTTTCTAAAGGCGGCTTTGACTGGGTTAAAATAGAGGAATGAAGGTGTCCATTCATTTCCAAGAAAACAACAGTGAAAATAAGTGAGAGATAGCTGGAACTGCAGATGCTGCAGAAACTGAGATAACAAGGTGTAGAGCTGGATGAACACAGCAGGCCAAGCAAATGACACACATGTCTGCATAGGTTTCCTCCGGGTGCTCCGGTTTCCTCCCAGAGTCCAAAGATATGCAGGCTAGGTGGATTGGCCATGCTAAATTTCCCGTAGTATCCAGGGATGTACAGGTTAGTGGATTAGCCAGGGGTTACAGGGATAGGCTAGGAGGTTGGGTCTGGGTGGGATGCTCTTCAGAGGGTTGATGTGAACCCGACGGGCTGAATGGCCAGCTTCCACACCGTAGGGATTCTATGATTCTTTGATGATTAACTGCTCACCCAGTAATATTGCAGAGTTGATATCCAATTGGCATATTTTAATGTATAACGACACGGTCGTTCATTTGGAGGAATATCAGGAAGGAATTATTCTGGTCACTGTGTAGCAACGTAATAGATGCATTTCTGTTAAAGGCACTAATGTGGTTGTGACAGGTAGGAAGTATGTGCAGGTCTTGTACAGGGTTCCCAGGAAATTGACTAGAATTATACCAGGGATTGGAATATCAGTAAATTCAATAGAACATTCGAAAGGAAATTGGACATTTATCAGAAAAGGAATCATGGTCATGGAGAAAGAACAGTGGAGAAGGGTTAGGCTGAAGGGTCTCCTAATACATTGCAAGATTCTATGACTGACACCAGCCAAGGCTCATACCCTATTAATCTGAATATTAGCCTATTACACAAAATCCATGCAGCTCTTTGAAGCATTTATCTTCGATTAAATTTATTCACCAAACAGTGTGTGGAGTGTGAGCCAGTAGCCAAAGCTATGGAAGTGAATAGAATCTCAAGCGGAAGTGATGGTTTAAAACTTTGGGAACCATGCCCAAAATTAACCTGTTTCTCTGCTGGATGCTGACAAAATTGCTACATGTTCACAAGGTCTTCAGTTTTTATTCAGCACCAAACAAGCACTTGTTTCTGCCTCATGTCAATATTGGTGACTTACTTGTGACTCATGAGCAACTGAAATGCTGCACCAAAATGGGAATTTGATGTTGCTGTGTGTGTTATCACTAGTGCTGTCTCAACAAAACAGAATGGTACATGCAACAATCCAAAACACACATGCAGTTCAGTCAGTAAATGTCAAGCAATCATTTTAACAGGTCTCTGTCTGAGACTCAGCTTACTCCCCAGTTAATGTACACCAACTCAAGCAAATTAGCAAACGTCAGCGTTATTTGGTCAGTTTAGATTACAAGAAGTTTGGGTGCAATTAAAAACTAATTGCTCAATCTGCTGGGTTCCAATTTCTAGGCAGTCTAACAACATCCGCAGCTGATCAACTTTACCCCCCAAATAGTCATAAAACGACCAAATGTTTCCCCACATTCAGCTCCAACATTTCCCTCATAAATAGAACATTGCTGTAGGGCATCAGAAAAATCCAAGATAGTATGGAGTTCATCGTGAAAGGTCATTGACCTGAAAAGTTAACACGGACATATTTTTCTGGATCCTTTGTGCACTTTAGTTGCACTTGTAATTAAAGCACTTTGTCACCCCAACGTAATACAGTATATTCAATCAGTGGAAACCCTGGCTGACCTTTTCCTCTTCACTTATGGAAGTGCCAATCCCCATTAATCAGCTGAAGGTAAAGGATTTTCGTGACGTTGACGCTAGTTTCCTGTAAATTAGAATATACCGTGTTCCTTTCTTTCCAAGAGCCCAAATTAGGGTCACATCCACCTTTATATTAATGGCATTAGGCATGTATTAAAATGCAAGAAATCTGAATCAAAGTGATTTCTTAGTGTGGGGTTAATAGTTGTGCAATCTGCATTACCTTCTTCTTTTTAGCTCCATATATAGGATTAAGTTGAGAAGGTGAGATACCTAATGCAGAAACAGCAGTTATGGCAATCTGGTGATAGCTGACACAGTGTTTAAGAGAATCACAGAATCATGAGAACGCAGTGCTGAAGGAGGACTTTCATTATGTCTTGGCTCTTCTGACAATCTGTAAAACCAGCCACACCTAGTCCCATGCCGTCAATTTTTTGCCTGCAATACCAGAGGGTG